ATATTAATAATATTATTATTAATAACCTAAGGATTATATTTATTTAAAATTAATAATTATATATAATATATAGCAGCAAATACCCACACGAAAAGAGAGGAAAACCAGGTAAACCGATTAATTAAATTACTTTAATTAGTAAAAGTTAAGACGGCTTGCCCGCCTCCGGAAATGGTGGTCTTGGCCCACCGCATCTGGTGGTTGCCCCATCGGGCAATTCTCGGCCCCTCCATCCCTCGCCGCCTTTGCGTGCCCATAAAACGGCGGCCCGTCCCACGTCTCCAGCCATGTACCCCTCAAGTCTCTCTTTCCTTCTCTCCCCACCACACCGACACGTCCTTCCATCAAACACCACTTTCGCATATCTCGAAGCGCGACTCTCGAAACAAGACAGCAATCATTGCTGCAACTACGCACAAGGCTAACATTTTGCGTCTTGCCGCCTATACCACGATACTTCTATCCGCTCGAAGCCTATCCACATCCTGTGGGCTGGCATGATGTTCGGTGCGCGACCAGCCCCACCCCACCACACTCTGAGGCGACGGTCGATCGAACAGACCAACATCACGCGAACGGAAGAGCAAGGCCGACTCGATACGATGGGATGCCCTCAGCTGAGTTCTGTTTAAAATTACTCAAATAGGCAAAAGGATTCCTACGCATTTTCTCGAATTTCCTCTGCAGGGAAGCCGAGACGGATACTCAGGAAGGCCGGCCTGCATGTCGTGTCTGCATCCTTTGTCACTTTCTTGGGTACTCTGATGTGGACTGCAGAATGGAGATGAAAGATTGTCAGCGTCATGCGACGGATACCCATGGAGACGCCGAAAGTACGACACGCCTGGAACACAGCCGGGGACATGGCCTCCAGTAACTGGGATCACATTGGTCTTGCGTGGTCTTGAGAGCGAGCAAAGTTCCATTCCAGTCAATCTGCCTCGCCATCAAACGCATGGTCACGCTGACCGATATCCAATTACGCAAGCGATGGGCCTGCTCCTTACCCAGTGGGGGGGCTTCGCACGGAGTCGGCGAGCAAATATAATATGCAGTTGCTTGGATGCAGGGAAGGCGATGACGACGCAGCACTGGTGGCGGAGAGGATGGGCTCACACTCGCTAGCCTGAGAGCATGAGACTTTGGCTATCCCGCTGCCGCATTTTGCCTCGGTTTGCGGCCAAAGGGCGCCAGCTTCTTGTCACGGCGACAGTGGTTTCTCAACCAAGCTGATGCCGAGGTAAAACGAGCCAACCTGGCAGCACCGAGTCCTCAGATAAGATTACACAGTGGCCTGGGTAGCGAGACGTGAGTTAAGGCACAAGCTCGCTGCCGACGAGCTGGCCGTTTCCCGTGGCTCAATTCATCCTGATGCATACTTCCTCAGACACATGAATAAGCTCTGGGGGCGCTGGGTTCCGGCCTCATGCATTGTCATTCGCATCTACAGCCCCTTGCATGCCGTATTTGCCTCACTTTGCAAATATCGTGCGCTCCGTTGGCGCCCGGGCAAGGTAATGTCATGTGGATTGGACCCGGACAGGAAGCACGAAACCTTGGGCGCGAGGCGCATACAAGTTGCCGCGTCAGAGACCTCATGTCACAGGCGGAGTTGCTCCATATCTGGATGGTTGCAATGCGTCCCTCTCGGCTCTGCCAGCATCTCATTACGCAATTGAGGGAGCATCGACGCGCACACCGCAAAAACGCACTGGCTTGGAGGCCCACTGTCCTATGACGAGACAAGGGTGATAATGGCGAGGCGATAGCCACATCGAAGGCGCGGTTTGTTACCATATCAGGATCAAATCGCGAATGCTCCGGACACACGGCAAGTCCGTAGCCACAACTTGTTTATCTTTGGCCTCCAACGCAGGAAGCGACATTTGAAGCGTTCTGGAGGCACAAATCGTCTCGGTAGGCAGGGTGACAGTTTCTGCGTCCGGACTCATCCTGAGACATACTCGACAGCCACCTTCATTGACAGGTCCCGGATCGTCTTGTGGCCCGCCGACCCGGGCAGGTAATTTCGAGATTGCTTCGTCAGCACTGATGCGAGTGTGACTCAATCGGGCCTTCTGTGGACAACAGTACTGGCTGCCTCCGTCTGGTTGCCTCCTTGCTCGCCAATTGTGAGGCGTTGAGTTATGTCCATTTTCAGGGGCCTGCAGGTTGCAGTCAGCCACGCCCAACGACTATGTGTTAGCTGATCACTTGTCCACACTTCGTTTGACGCGTGCAATCGGAGAGGACGATGTCTGCAGCTCCTCGAGGGTTACGAGGACTACGATGTTGGTCAAGTCGTCAGCTCAGCAAGATAGGACAGGGGTGATTCCAATGCGTATCTCTACGAGAGACCTGCGCGCCACGGTGGCCGGATCGTACCTCCTTGAGGAGATACAAAGGGCGATGCTGGAGGGGGTGAATGGCATGGATGCAATCTGGCGTACGGCTTTCTCCTGACGTAACTTGGCAATGTCGCTTCACGTCTTGCTGCTGGCGGCGTAACTAGCATTGCGAGTGGGGGAGGTTGCCGGTGGATAAAAGTCGAAGGCCTTCCCGCACCTCAGTGCCTCGCTCTTTTCATTTAACCTTCCATTTCAACTTATCAACTACCCAGACACTCTTGTGCTATGGCTGCTCCCCTACAGTTCAAAGCTTACGATCCTGCGTGTCGAAAACCACGCAAGCCAAAGCGAATAGCTTCTGCTGCGCCCAGAAAGCATCATGGGGATAATGCGGAAACTCGGCATGATGGCCAGGCGTCTCAGTCCGTCGCGGAGGGCTACTTGGAGATGAACAGTATGTTGCGAAAGGAGATACATTGAGAATCTCTTGGGTCCCTGCTGACACACCGGAGACCAGGAAGATGTGATGACCGTCGATCTGACCGACCTCGATGTGTGCGACGACCTAGAGTCTGTCCGGCAGCTCGTGGAAACATGCATGGCATCTACCTTGTGTGGCAATGAAGTCCGAGGACATGCGAGTACTTCATTGAGCCCGGCGCCTCAACTTAACCTGTCGACTGAGACACCGGAGACCAACCCAGGCGATATCCAGAATCAAGGTAAACCACTCCTGATACGTTTGTCCAGGAGGGGAGGCTAACAACCAACACCCAGACTCTGTACTTATGGCGGAAGCCAACCCGCAAACACGGGTCGACGGAATTGCTCCGACAATCCCGGCCTCTCTGAGAGCGGCGATGGACCTTACCGTGAATGGTGCCAATGATGTGGCACTGGCGGCGATGCGCCAGCCCAGAGCTGCTACCACCACGCAATTGCCAGACCTTTCAAGGCTCAGTGCTCACCAGCGTGGGAGCGTCACCTCTATCTCCTCGCCCGCTTTGAGCATATCTCCCTCCACACGTGAGGATACTGGAAGTCAATCTCTGGAGAGTCTATTCAATGATGAGACGGGTTTTCAACGTTGGCTAGATGCGGAACAACGGCAAGATTCTGCACCAAGCTCCAAGCGATTGAATCGACCACTTGACGACAGCGGGTATGACAGCAGTTCTGAGGACCAACGGGAAGCGAAGCGACCAAAACTATCTTCTACTGCTGAATGCGGCACCTTGCTGCGCGAGCCAGATGTTTGCGAGAGTGCCTTGGCGCCCGACGATACGGTTACTGCTCACCATGCCTCTCGTCGATTGCTACCAACTCGGCACATCGAGGGCAACCCCATCAGCCCCTCTGCAGGCACTCGCTCAGGAGCGGCCGCTTGTTTGCCAAGCCGCACTGCTGTGAAATTCGCTACTCGTGGAGATGTCACGACAAGTCAATCTCACATTGACTCACTCAGGCCGCCACCGCCCATGGCGCTACCAGCAGGGTTCAGGGGAGGGCAAGAGATAGATCAAAGTGGGCAATGCAACTTATGCGCAATCTTCCGCGCAGCCCTCTTCGAAACGCTTTCTTTGCTACACCACCCATCGCACACGGCCGTTTCGAACACCCAACGGCACGCCCAGCCCAGGAGCATCGTCTCGAAGCGGCGCTATAGCCTGCGCAAACGACCTACGCCCCTTGAGAATGGTTGCGAGGACTCGGATGACAATCCTGTTAGTTACATGGACAAGCACTGCAACGGGAGTGATGATGGTGGCATCGTTAGTGATGAAAACGAAGACGATGACTCCCTGAGCGATACGGACAAAAGTAGGAACGTGTCTGTTAAGCGCCGTCGGTGGTCTGACCTTGAAGAAAGTCGACTAAGAGCAGGGAAGAGGGAGAACAAGTCGGAATCGTGGATCGCTTCCAAACTAGACAGAACGGTATCGGCAGTCAAACAGCAGTGGCGCAAAATGAGCGAAGACAAGAGCTAGTATTGATTTTAACAATGTCAACTTCATCGATTCTAAAACGACCACCCGATCACGCAAGGCACACTTGACGCCAGATAGGTAGCAGCTTCGCATGCGGCACCCACCCCTCCCAGCCATTTGGTGATCATATAGAACCAACCTCACCATCTTCTTTCCCTCACCTAAGTCTGCCACCTTAGCCATCTTGGCGCTGTCATTGCCCTTAGAGTTCATGCTCTTCCAAAAATAACGCACATCGTCGTAAATTCCCTAACGGGACTCAAACACCACTCAGTCGTAGGCGAGTATTGGCGAGCCAGGCCCCTTTAGCAGGTTGCAACCGGAGGCCGCTAATGCTCTGCCAGACCAAATATATCTCAAATGGCAAATTGTCCGAGATCGGGGTGAGACCTGCTGACACGCTGGCTCGGCGGTGTCTTCGGCCAACATACCCAGCACCCCCCGTGCGGAACAAGACCAAGCACGCGGAGTATAAGGCTAACCGACGGCGCACAGCCCCAAACGCTTGACCGAACGAAGCGAACAGGGTTAAACTGCAGGAAAGTGTACTCTCAGCCCTCCAAGTTCCTAGCGGAACAAAGCAGCTGTGGACATCGTGCTGAGCAGTCCTCGGGTATATAAGGCTCCTGGTTTCCCAACGCTCTCAATGATACTCCGACGACACAATTTATGGTGAGTTCCTCTTGACAGGGTCAAGCATAGTGAAGCTTGACGAGAAAAAAATCTCTGACTTATGGCAGACTCTGATAAGACACTTACTTTCTCGTCTCCAACTGACCGCATCGGACGCTTGGCCGAGTTTGTTGATGATGCAGACTTAGAATCTAGCGAAAAGTATAGTCAAACCTCACAAACGAGGGAGGAAGAGTACTTGGAGATATTGGAATACATTATTGCAGCGTTGGGGGATCTACGCCTCATGTTGAAGGATGACTCTAGGGCACGAAAGTCTACTCTCCATGTCCAAACCTCAACAGCCGCAGATTAAAGTGGTGAATCCTCAGAAAAAGCTAGATATTGCTTAGATTAAGTTACATAGTACAAACAAAGCCCTAAAATGCTGTGCAGTTGGCAAACCATTTATTTCGCTCGGCATTGCCCTGATCTATCGTGTGCTCATACATTCTGGCCAATTCTCTTTCTACTGCCCTACAAATATAGATGGCATGATTGTATTTGCTTATTTTCTCCCGGAGAAGAGCGAGTTTTACGTTGAGGGATTCTTTTTCTGACTGTAAAGCTTCTAAGGACAGACGATGAAGCAAGTTGTCTAGTTCGAAAGTGTCTGAGTATACGCTGGACGTCGGTCTAGGGTCCATCATAGAGGACGCAAATTATCGGGAAGTGTTATGTCAAATGAAAGCACATTTTTTAGGCATGGTGTATTTAGATAAATATACCCAGAGGCCGCAACCATCGCGGCTATAATTAACATTCAGGATTTTGAGGGCGTTACTAGAGTCTTCGGGTCAATAAACTGAAATGGAGACCTGATGTATTACGTCCGAAAACGGCTTATGTCTGCCGATCGTAGGAGAGTAAGCCAAAACAAGCAACATGGTTACATTGTCCTTAATAAATATACTGCATGGCCTCATCTTGTAAGCATCTTCTCTATGCAGCTTGGCACGGCCATGCAGTGAGACCATGTCAATTAAGCCCCATCGAAGCGAGTACAGAGTTATAATTGATCTTACTGGTGACGAGCAGTCCTGCTATTTCTGCCGAAATACTCTGACTCCAGGACCAAAATACAGAGTCTATGGATGTGTATGCGATGGCTCTGTCATTGACCAAGCTTCTCTGACTCCGATAGTTACTCTGCGACAAATGTACTTCCATCGTACACTTTCTGAAATCCCATGAGTGGGAAAACTGCGCGTATTGCAAGGCTAGCGGGGAAGACTTTACTGTAGTGCAGGAGATGCTGGGTAGCACGGTACGTTTGTTGGCAAGCAAGAACCTAAATTATGTGCTAATGGATTTTTACGAAGCAACTCTACGTTAAGCAATACTATTGGAATACTTGTCCTATTTGTTATGAGGCAGACGATCTGTTGTATACGCCCTGTGGTTGGTTTACTAGCCCTTGCGAATTTGCGTCTTTTAGGTAACGATCTCCAGGCCATGCTTTCTGTAAAACTTGCTGGGACGTCTGCCAGCTGCCCCAAATAGGGGGCGACCGCCCCACTTCACGCTGTCCCATGTGTCGGGCGCCGATTTTAGCTCCTCCAACTTCAGCAATGTCTCGTTCCATCGGCCGAGAGATCATAATTCTTGACCCGTAGGAAGTGGCCATGGATGGAATAGCCCTGCAAAAACAGCCTCAAGGTTCCATTGCTCCCCCACCGCATCTGAAGGAGCAGTTCCCGTTCTGTCCGCCCTTTGGAACCCCTGCGAACAGCTTGGTCGTTATGCCTCAACTGGGGAAGGGCAGAACAGTTTGTTGGACTCCAGAGAGGCAAATGAGGTAGCCCGTCGTGGATGTATATATTAATGCCAACCCATGGGTATGTCTAACATGTACCCAAAATTTACTTCATATATATTAATGCATATGATCTTCTTCCAAAGAAATATAAATACAGTCTGGTTCTCCACGCCGTACCTGTCGCAATTAGATCAAGCGGAGCATTGTTTTGGTATCAACTCACTTGTACCATGTCTGCCCAGCAAACCGAAATTACTTCCGAGCACACCCCGACATGCGGCAGAGTCATATCTCACGACAAAATCTCCTCCATTTCCATAGTACGTCACCTTTGCGGCCTGTACAAGGCCCAGGGAAGATATGATGAGGCTGAAGAAGTTCTCGGTGGGACAATGGACGATTTCATACCCGCGCTACGACAGGATAGCGAGTCAGCCATAACTATAGTGCGCGACCTGGTGGATCTCTTTCGCGATCAGGGCAAATTCAACAGAGCGAAAGAGATCTACCAGCAGGCAGTCAGCGGCTTGGAGAAGACGTTTGGGCGCCAACATTTCACGACCCTATCCATGGTTTTCGAGTTTGGGTCTTTTCTCCGAAAAAACAGCCAACTGCAAGAGGCAGAAGAAGTCTACGTACAGTCCCTAACGGGTATCGCCGCCGGCACCAAGAACCCAACTCTTTCTGTGCTGTGCATCCTCAATGAGCTTGGGGTTGTCTACGCTAAACAGCGCAAGCTCAACCAGGCTGTTGAAATATATAGACACGCCGTTCAGGGTTACGTCAAGGTCGTTGGAAGTGACCATTTATCGACTACAACCGCAGTGCTCAATCTTGGGGCTGTTTACAAGGACCAAGGAAAGCTGAAGGATGCAGCCAGGATGCTGAACTGGGGCCTTTCGGGCCTCGAGAAAGCGCATGGCATTGCTAATAAAAGGACTATAGAGACAGCAAAACAGCTCACCGCACTTTACATGAGAGAACGCAACTTAGGAGAGGCTCAAAGAGTATGCGCGAAGGCTTTAAACGGCTCTGAGACGACTCTTGGTAAATGTCATGAAGGAACCCTTGCTGCGGTTCTGGACATGGGAATCATACATAGAGACCAGGGCCAATTCAAAGAGTCCGAACAGATGCTTCAACGGGCCTTTGACGGGTACCAACAGACTAACCATAATCTGCTTCCCCTGGTTCTGAACGCCCTAGGCACTGTCCACGCCCTTCAAGGCGATTATGACAAAGCTGACGAGGAGTACGATTGGGCAACTGAGTGTCTAAACAAGAAGGAGGAGCGGGATGAGCTCCTAAATCTTATCGTGACGTACAATAAGGGAAATGTACTTCAAGCTCACGGAAGGCTAGAAGAAGCGGAGAAACACTGCGAAAAAGCACTTGAGGGTTTCCAAAACTTGGCTGGCCACAGGCACTTGACAACAATGGCAGCAGTACTAAAACTTGGGGCAATTTATCAGGAGCAAGGCAAATTTAAAGAGGTTGAAGACTTGTACCGAACAGCGCTCAGGAGTCAAGAGGAGGTCTCCAAAAAGCTTTCGAAGGATGATGACAATGACGCTGCCCTTTACTTTCAACGAATGTCTATAGTGTATTGATATGTTTCTCGTTAGATGTGTGAGCAACTAGACATAACTTTTCATATCAACAAATAGAGACAAACTTTTATGGTGCTTATAATTCATTAGAGGATGTTTCAATAAATGTATTCTCCATTTAATATGTGCTGACGTCGTGCCGCTACACACAATGCGTTGTCTGCTATTAATCTAATTACCACTGAGAATATCCTAAATTGGTAGCTCCAAAGATTCCGTGTCTTCCGAATAGCCCCTTATACCGCTTTGAAGTTTACTTAGGCCTATTAGTATAGAGTGACGGGTTCGTTACGTGGCAGAACACAACATCCTTTGCGCCAGGTCTAAAACCTGGATGCAGTGGTACGCTGTCAGACGACGTCTCGACTAAGGTCGGAGTAAGAGCCTGTGGAAGCTTCTTGTGGCCCCAATCTGTACATTTGGACAGAATATTTGTGACAGAGGTCGGTTTATTCTGCGTGTTTGTCATTTTCGACGTGTTGGCTGGATTGCTAGGGTATTCGATCGTTGCCTCTCTGTATGCGGGCTACTCCTTGCATATGAACATAACGAAGAGACGAATGAATGAAAATGTAGCGTCGCAAAGAGAACGTCACTATTAATATCTGTACGGTAGTGTCTAGCTTGCAAACTACCGAGTTAAGTTTGAGACGGCCTTTATCAATTAGAAAGGGCCAGAATGTACCCCAAATTGTATAGTGCAGAAACTGGACTACCAGGACTCATGGGCTTGAATGAAACAAAGGCTGAACTTCAGATTGTAATGTGCCTTAGGTTTGGGACTTCCCCCACCGGCCGCAATAAAGAAAGAAAAAATGAATGAATAAATTATTAATACAGTATAGCTCAGCTCATAGTACAAAGTATGTCGGTGCGGCCGGTGCAGGCTATTGTGTGCTCGGCTTGGAGTGGTTGATATACGTAAAGCAAGCCTTGGAACATTTGTTCTCCTCCACCATTGCCTGTACAAAAATAGTGAATATATAAGTCAACTGGAAGTTTCGTGATACTACTCACAGCGTTCCCAGACTCCAAATATGAGGTCAGTGCAATTTGGACTTATTCGCTGTGGACCAAACGAGTTGTCTATCCATCGCACTGCGAAATAGTGAAAATCAAAGGACGATACCCTGAGGGAAACTGCGATACTGTCATTACTACTTTGCAGTATGGGTAACTTTTCAACCAATTTTTTACAAGCCCAGCGTGAGTATATCAATACTTCCATCTTATCTTTTGCTACCCTATCCGGCCTCGCATAGCATATTGAAGAAGTCGATGCTGAGAATGTTGCAGCTGCTGTGGTGCTGAAGCTTAAGTTTCTTGGGGTCGTAATGGTCTCCGTAATTGTAGAGGTCGTTGCGATCGGATAACTTGCTACAGTCTTGATTTCTGCTTTACAAGACGTAGCTGTATTCGAAGGCAGCACACTGCCATATTCACTGGGCTTACCACACGCTGTGTTACGCAACAGTAGCCTCGGGACACAGCTCTCAGTCGTAACCCATGTAGCAGGGGGTGTGACCATTGTTTTATACGGAACTGTATACTCTTGCCCTGACGTAATATACCAATCCATGGTCCTAGTGGGATTTAGGTTCTGAATATCAGTGGTGTTGATACCAAGGGCGACGGCAGCTTTCCATACTGTGTCACAATCCTTGACCATCCATATTCCAAATTGAGGGTTGAGGTTGCATCCCACAACTAGCGGAGTCAGAAGCAGTAATATTGCACGTAAAATCATACCAGTATTTTATTAGTACTAGCTAGGAGCTGGTACTGTAATTTTCCAAAAGAAACAGGTCCAAGCTGCGCTATATACATGTCTTGGAGCCATTTCTGGCCCTTACCTGTTCCACAGTTCATAACAGCCGGATAGAGCGCCTAGGTATTGCACGATCAGATGAATTACTTAATTTGAAGCAAAGAGTTTCTGTTTTATCTCTAGAACGCAAAGCTTTATTACTCATCAACACTTAGCATTTGGGCAATTATGTTGCGTCATCGGGATAACTTAAGTCTATCTCAGCACAAGATAACTACTTGGTGCAATACCTTCCTCCCCTGACGCTTTCTTCACCGGCCACCACGACCCACCAATATTAGATACACTCAGAATCTCTCCTCTAACAAAAGATATCTCTCTTGGATCCTTGGGGTTGCCATCGTAAGTGTACAAGGCCGTCGCCCTGTACGGCCATCCTGGACGGTTTTGCGGCGGGCTCACTGATGACTTCGTTCTCTTCTCTGTTCTTATTGAAGAGGTGGTGTCAGAGAGAGAATCCATAGGTCGTCGCGGTTTACAGGACTGGGTTGACCCAAAGTATAACAACCATATGATCTACCAATTATTAGTGCAAAGCCAAGTAGAAAGCAGGGAGATGATACGAGCCATAACCATGGAAAGCACTATGAACCCTACAGTGGCAGCAACTCTAGCACCACTAGGGGAATAGGCTAACGAATTTACGGAAGATGTGACTAGTACTATTCCAGCCCCGAGATACCCAGCAACCGCGACTTGATATCTCGGAAGCCCATTGGTTCCTGTTAAATAAAAAATTCCAGCAATCAGGAAAAAACTGTAAACAATCGACCACCATGCGAATGGGGGAAATCGGTTTGTCGTGTCAGCTTGTATTTGACAAAAGACACATGAGATCGCCGTGACGACCCAAGAAAGCTTTCTTATGTTAGCCCAGCTCAAACCAAATAATCGTTGCCCCTGTCATGTACAATTGACACAGATAGCGTAGCCAGGTCAAATGGCTTAGCGAGAATGTTACTTAAACAAAACATGTTATTCGTATAGTATATTCTTTCCTCCCAGTCTCGTTGCGAAGAAGCGTGACCGGATGACAATGTTCACTGCAGTCCAAACCGTAATTGCAACCATTCGGACAATGACTTTGATGAAGGCGCTGATGGTGACACGACACACATGAGAGTTGTATAATGCAAATTTCTCCAACAGCTATGGACTTAACCATTTGTTCTTCAGCTCCCAGGTAAAAAATGGCCGAACCCAACGCGGTCGGATGTGACTTACACTGACAAAGCGGCTTGTACGGAGCCATTTTCGGACTATGAGGAAAGGTTTCTCCCATCGATCTCAAGGCTTGCCAGTTTGGCCCTACTGCTGTCCCCTAGAAAAACAGTCTCACTGGCCATCCATCTCTTCACAACCTCTCCTAAATATTTAGACAAGCCCGGATATTTACAACCTACACATGTCATAGAATTGACGTAACCCATATAATTTACAGGCGACAGGAAAAGTGTTTATGATAAACAAATTAAAGTGTGAGAGTTGCAGTCATTGGAGGCGGCCCTTCTGCAATCCGACTCTGGGTCTGACACTATGCAGAATCCCCTGTGGTGACATTTAAGCGACCATCCCAACAGTCGGCTGAACACCTTTAGTTCCCGTTCAGTTCTTCTGCTTTGACCCAATTGTGTCAGTCCCTGCAACTGCTCTGCCTACTCATAATACTGTCCTAGACATTAAAGCACCGCCGTAAGGTCATTCCGCGGCATCTACATGTCGGAAAGTTATTTGGACTTTCAACTCTGCAACGCAATCTCAAGTCATGTTATAAAAATAGGAGTAGTTCAAAACATCATTTTTGTCCTTCATTTTCAGGTTATTGCCTGATGTATTTCCAATGTTCTTGTTTGGAGCTGCCTAAGATATTGAGTAGTCCCTTCGCGAAGCGTGCCTCTACCGTTATGCGTTTCGAATAGTGCCAGAAAGTTACGGACGCTTTTGTCGTGTTCGATTAGATTATTATCAACCGTGTCCTTGCGCATGGACCCATTGGGATATCTCCTGCCAAAGTCGTATTGAACGACCGTGTTGCTGATAACCACGTCTCTTCGCAAAATCACGTCCTAGAGTTGACGGGGCAGGCCGCCACAGATTCCAGCCAGAAGAACTAGCATTCGGGCTCCATAACTCGATCGCGCGCTAGCCGCCGCAGCAGTTGCGTCGGTCTTGCCCATGCGAGACAAGCTAGCTAGGCGGCGCAACTGAATATCCATGGGCATTTGCCGTGGCCGAGCAGGCTCTAGTTGAGCCAATATGTGTTCAAACCACAGCCTCACCTGATGCAGTGGCCGCAGATTTGTCGGCCCGCGTCCTGCATGAAACCTAGTGCGTGAACATTAGCACCACACTGTCACGTTCTTTTCACTTCTCATATTCGCGGGGGTAAAAAGAGTGGCGTTTTGGGGTATAGTGTTGTTCGCTCTCGGACTGCCGCCTGGTTAGTTTGGCGGAGTATATTGCAAAAGAGGTCGAAGTAATACTTTTTACACAAATTTCAGGCGCAAGCCCAGCAACGAGGTAGTATATTGTGGTAAGAAGAGGCTTAATCAGAATCACATCTTGCGGGAAAGTGCAAGAATACTGTTGTTGCCAGTAGCTAAGAGGCAAATGCAGTTCTAGGAACATCGCGCCACCACTCATTCATCTCAAAGTGGAAGTGGCTGCATGACACGTCGAGCTAGGTGCTGTTGATCCCGGCCTGGGTAGAACTGCATTATTCAAGTTCGCTGGAGCTAATTGCTGCTCTTCTTTTCTCCCAGCGATCCCGACTTCTAACTGCATGACGAATGAAATTATACTGGCAAAGTCATACCCGACACTCACCTACCTTTGTCACCCCTCTCCTCTTGGAACTCCGCGATAACGCCATGGCTCACCAGTTAAGAGCAAGATAAAGCCCTCACTGAGTACCTCCCTCGCCTGACTTACAGCCGATTTGGAGATAACGAATCTCAGCGCTCCGACCACCTAGAACCCAGCCATCAAGCTATCCCACGCCCCCCTGTGAGCGTTGCCCGTTCCCAGCAACGACGTAGAATACCAGCAGCCAAAGCTGGTTGGTTACTGGCACCTATTGCGTGGAAAGTTGTAGGTGCTAGTAGCGAATATCTGAAAGTTAGTGGTAACCTTGTCCTCATTGGATGGTCCAAAAGGTGCCGCCTTGCTTATAATGGCAGATGGGCATTGTCTTTCAAATGGACGAAGCCATAACGAAGTTTGTCAATTCTGCGCTACACCAGGTTGGAGTGTCAAAACATGGGAAAACGTTTCGTAGCTGTGGCGAATATGTATATCATTATTGGTAGGACGTTATCACCATCAGACTAGATGAACGGCTTGGGTACAGCTTAGGGTCATACATGGACCGATTATGTAGGCCGAGTGGAGAGCTACTACGGTTTGATGCAAAAGCTTACCTGTTTAGTTGGAGGCCAGGAGTACGTTCCCCTTTGACCCTTCAAATGATGGATAGCCATGTGAAGCCCTTACTCCGCCTCGTGATGGCGGCATTCTGCGACAGAAGATCGCGCCTGATCCCAAACGTTCCTTATAGCATCAGTCCGCACCGGCACCTTTGCCAAGACCAACTCGCAAATTTGCGTCCATGGAGTCAAATGACTGGATTGCAAGTGCAAAACCGTACCACGACGTTGAATGCTCCCCAAAATGTGTTTCGGCGTTATGCTAAAACATGGCGTAAATCTCTACGTCGACCAAGGAGGGTTTAGCATTGGAACTCGAATCAACAGTAAGAGGAGGACTAGACATCGTAGTTACCGATCTCAGTTCCGCCTACCATACTTATTTTACGTGATGGTATGTGCGGTATAAACCTTTTCATCTAGCAAATTCCGTCCGAGCCAAAGATAACTTTGAAAGCAGGTTAAGGTCTAGACAGTTCAATTTAAGGACTCATATACTATCATTGTAGCCCTTAACTAGCTGAAGCTTTGATAGTGTGATAAATTGAAGTAGGCTAGCTTCGATTTTAAGGAACTCCAAACCGTGGGCCGAGAAAGATGGCCCCCCTCCGTGTGAACGCCGTCGAGTTATTCGTACTCAGCAAGTATTATGCTCTGGTTGGGTGTAAACGAGGTATGAAGGCCTAATATCATGCAAACTGTGAGATTCTAAGACTCAGCCGCTTCGTGCTTTGCCATTTTATTTACGTTTGCTATGGAACAAATCCTTTGAGTACATGCAACCTCTTTTCCTCTTTAACGACAGTGACTGCCGTTTGAACACCATTGCTTTTGCCGCATCCTCACTAATAGCCACCCCAATACGATAGTTGGAGCCCTCCCAAATTCCGAACCCTCTGTATTTCAGTACGATAGGGATATCGCCCCCACCAGCACGTATGACGATTGCCGTATTTTTGTGGTTAGGTTCAGCATAGGAGCCTCCATGTCTGTATTGCTTACAGCGATGATTCCATAGATAGGTTCTTCCATCGACTAATAGTCCTGTTGCGACAAAGTTGGCGGCAGTTCTTGGGTAAGGAAAATCGCTGGTCGAGGCCACGCCGCGGTATTGGTTCTCATAACAACTCCTGTAATGGTAGTCTGTGTCGTCACAGTTGTCATCGTACCAGGATCCAAATTTCTCCTCGTCATCATCCTGGGTTAGGTCGACGACGCTGATTCCTCTCTCGATAACTCCGCCGCTCGCTGCGTGTCTTGCTGGTTCCGGATCCAATACATCCAACGAAGACTCCATTTCGTCCCCTGTTAAGTCAATAACCTCGATACTCTTTGTGGCTTGTTTATTGGGCGTTAATGGACTGCAAGATTTGGGGGTTTGCAGTTCTGGAGGCGTGAAATCCGACGAGTCTCGAATATCGGGTGTGGAATAAGGGGCTGAACCACAGCACGCAGAGTCCGCAGAGTCTGGGATATCGCATGGAGCATCCTTAATCATCTCGCTGCCAAAATGCTCACGGTCTATGGTATCGGAAGGGCCTTCGCAGAGTTGAGCCGCCGGGACGACCTGGTGAGGGAGGGCTTCCAAAGTATCTTCATCAAATAAGCTCATGTCGATAAAATCTGCGACCCCTGGCCAGCTGCACCCTTCTTCCTCAGACTCATCGCAAAAACAGTATTCCGTTATCTGAGGAGGGCTGGTATCACTTGGCCAAGCAAAAACAGCGGCCGAGTTGCTAGAGTTGATATGATTGGGTGGGAAAGGCTGGTGAACATCCCACAACGGTAAATCCTGAGGATGTAAGATAGACGGGTCGATGGTCTCATCATCATCCCTAACTCGCCATCCGCAAGATTCACCGTCATGGCGATAACTCAGCGTGGTGTTCGCGTGAGTGATGGACATCTCTGCGTTCAGTGTGAAGTGCGAGGCTCGCTGTTGCTCCCTGCTAGCAAGAAACCCAAGCTCCCAGAAAGCTGGTTGAGCCGATTCGTTCATTCTGTTCATGGTGGTGATGTAGGACGAAGACTTGACAAACTGAGAGAAGGGGGCAAGCTGGTCCTTTTATACATTGGCTGCCTTTGTGAAGCCGTGTCTTAGGTCAGCAGACACGGGGCCTAGGTCGTACTCCAGGTATTGTTAAGCTTGCTAATCGTAGTGATGATCGTAGATAGCCCTCGAAATGTTCGTATGTAATTAAAGGCCCGTGAGCTCCCCGCGTCGACGTTCCCTCCTCCCTTACGGCGGTATTGTGCGGATGTCGTCTGGTAGAAGAGACTGGGGTGTTTGATATCATCGGAAATTGATGCGGTGATAGCTAGCGAACAAGGCCTAGGTGATCCGTACATGGAAGCTTTTTCTATGAAAATAGGAGAGAGGATATAAATAGCACTGCAGTAATAGCCTGGGTGAGTAGCGCTGTATCGCCGCCTGGGCAAATAGAGAGTGGCGAAGTTTTCTACGAAGATGGCCCACCCATGTGAGAAGCTTGAAAAGCATCTGGAAGCCCTGTTCGAATATCATAATGATTGCGAAGCAACTTCAAAGCTGTAGGCTTAATGGTTCTGCGCAATAAGTTCTTCGCAAATTCACAAAAGGTAACAGCCACGTTGAATATGCAATGGTTATGTAGTATTGCTCTGATATTACATTGCTGGCTACTGCTCCAAGACATGAAGAGTAGCAATACAGTTTTTAATAAGGTCACGAGCTGGTTCCTTCCTCTCCCCCTCCGTATCCTAACCCCGTCTTTGCCCAGTTCCTTCTCATCTTTATACGTCACCTGCGATGTTGCTAGCACCCCCTCGTCCCCTGTGCGCTTCGTGTCCGCGGGATATTGAGAGAGGCGGCAGAGGTTCTGCGCAGCCCCATTTCTCTGAGCCTGACTGTTTTCTACTTCGTCATCATCACCCATAGGCAGGTTAGTCACCGCTGGCCCGCCGCTGTGAGAAGTCGATCATCAAATTCTGGGGGGCGGTGATCTCCCTCTGTCATCGAACAAGTCGAGGAGCAACTTTGGTCTTCCGTAGATACTGTCAGTTAAGATTCGTAACAGCTGTCCATTTCAGATTCCGTTCCAACCGAACGTTGTCCGCTTTTGTTTGATCCCAAGGCTCTTATCAGTCGGGGCATCTTGAAAAGCCTTCATGGCGATTGTTCAATAATAAGTAAAGGGATATCTTAAAGATTTGTTGTATCGGTAGGTGTGCAGGTTTGGAACTAGCTCCATACCTCTGCGAGAACACCAAAAATAGCCCTGTATTGACGCTTGAGAGAATGGTACGTATATGTGGTCAGTTTTGGCCACGATCTTCCCAGCAAGAGCATGAAAAATCGACCGAGTGTATTTACATATTAAACGTTGTTGTCCAAACAGTCCTATTCCCTCTTATTTTTTGTAACATTCCATTACTATATTAATATTACCTCATACTTAGTAACACATTTCTGTGAATATCACTTGCCCCGATTCGCCACAGGCCGCAGCAAGGGAGCCCATTTTACTACGTAGCACAGACACCTTTCTTTTGATTTTGGTGGTTATTTATAACTAAGTCTGCCTTACCTTCTCCAAATGAGGTGTAGAGCTCGTCATCGAGGAGGTACCAGCCAACCGTTTTGGACATGCAAATGACTCTAGGCTCTAGAACTTTGTGGAGGCACGTATCCAGCCAGTAAGCTACAGTAATTTAGCCCAGATACGTAATCAAATACGCGTCTATGCGTGTTCAAGTTTGTCACTACCGATGTCAGCCTATCCCGCTAGACCGTCATTCCGACCAACGTTACAGCAGTGAGCCAGAGGAGCAATCGGCTTGCCATCACCTGACAAGGAGAAGAAGTCGTCGATGCAGCATCTTGTGGATTTGAACGGTGTGCTTGACAGCCTGACGTAAGTGCCGCTCTGCTAAGCGTATAAATAGTCAGCCTCTTCCTCATTTACCCCTGAATCTCGCTCCGCTTTCGATATCTCGCTCCCCAACATACCGTTCAGGGAACCGCACCGTTCGATTTATGCGGCTATTTCGCCGGCGTGCAAAATCAGCAGTACGTATGACGCCTCGTAAAAGGCATAATCTAATCTTGCTACAGATCGAGCTACATCCCCAAGCATTAGCCCACGCCGTCTTCGCTGACATTGATCGCGGAAACCTCTGCGACAGACAAGTTAGATACCACAACACACCGCCAAAATGAACAATGTCATATATCAAAGGTCGCTGGATCAATTTCCTGCAGAAATTTGGCTCGGGATTCTCGATAACCTATCTGGCGAGGCGGTGCGAAATTTTCTGTACACCTGCAAAAAGTCTTTCAGTGATTTTTTATGGTACTTCGCCACGCGTGAGGCTAACAATGGTCTTATTCATGCCGCAAAGCACAAGGATAGGAATTTGCTTAGGAAAATTTTGTCAATTGACGAAGTTGACGTTAATATGGAAGATGAAGATGGTGAAACTGCACTTTGTTTTGCTGTAAAGTCATCAGACAAAGTCATGTTACGCGCCCTGATTGCGAGATCCAATATCAACACGCAAAAGCCACTTAGACATGCTATAATGCAACAGGAAGATGACATAGTGGAACTTATACTACAATCCGGAAATGTCAACCTCGATGCGACCCACTGCCTCCGCGAAACGATGCTATATGATGCTGTGTTATATGGGGGACCTATTATTGCTGATTTATTGGCTTCCCAAGCACGATCTTCGGATTTCGAAAAGGTCAATGAGGCCGATAGGACTCCATTACATTGGGCGATAAGATACGGGTATGACGAGGTAATGGACATATACTTCTCGACAAGAAAGGCACGATCTAACGAGCATATCCTGGAAAACGATCTATTATTATACGCGATAGAACGCCGAAAAGAGTTTGTTGCACTACAAATCTTGTATCATCGGGGCTTCCGACTTGCTACATATCCGCAAGGCGATGTTCTACTCCATCGCGCATTTCGAGAAGGCCTTGAACTGGTGGTTGCGGAGTTACAATTACAAACAACGGACGCC